TCCCTCTCTCTTCACGCCGGAATTTCACAGCAGAATCCAGAAAAAAGACATTTTCCGGTGAAATCACGATGTCAACCCTCCCTGTGGGTGATCTGATGCTTGTTAGGGCTTGAGAGTGGCCTGCCATGTCATAGGAAGGACTGTCTGTGGTTGCAGGAGAGTACCACCATCGCCATCGCTTTGTTATTGGTTACGGTACCCCACCTTCATCGCCGGAGTGATTTCTTTTAAAAGTTTCCCATAAGTAGGTAGGTAGGTATAGGTAGGTAGGCAGGCAGGGTGGGGGCAGGGGCTGGCCGGGGTTTTGCAGAATTTCAGCATGAAAGGTCTCCGGGGCCGTCCCGTTTTGATCTCTCGGTGAGTGGGGGGCCGAGCCGCCTCGGGGTGGCGGGCAGGGGCGGGCGTTTTGAAAAACAGAAAACCAGAAAACAAGTAACAAGAGGGGCCCAGCTAGGGGCCCGGCGGCCCAGGACCCCCACTGGGAGTAGAAAATACGCCCAAGGCTTGCCGCCCAAGGGGGCCAAGGAGGCGGCGCGGGGAAGCAGCATCAGGTGAGAGCAGGAAGGATGGCGCTTAGGGTCGGCTTTGATGTTTGAACAAGGGTTTCCAGGTTTTCGAGATCAGTATTGGTGTCGGCACACATCCCCACATGAGGTCAGCGGCGCGCAGTGCCTCTCTCGCAGGCTGGTTTTGGCTGTTTTCGACCATTTCGAGCTCTTGTTTTTGTTTTCAGACTAGGGGGCCCGACCCCCTCAGAGGCGGCGGGCGGGCGCCCACTCACCGAGAGATCAAAACGCGGGAGACGGCCCGGCCAAAAGCAAAAGGGATACACACCTGACGTGGGGTTGTTCATTTTGTTCAGTCGTACGTGTTTCGCGCTTTTCTAGCACGAGTTCTTTCTTCCTCAGAAAGAACGAGCTCTCGCAAGGCGCGCGATCACAGTTTGCTCGACAAACGATCGCGAAAGGGTGGGGTGTGGGGGGGCGCAGAGGCAGCGTGCCACATGCCACGTGACATCAGAGCGGGCGACTACACCACGTGGGTGCCCCTCGAGTATGCAAAGCACGATTCTCAAGTTGGGCAGCGGGGTGGAGTGCGAGAGCACGAGGGTGGGCACACCACACGCAGCACTGGACAGGAAAGGGAGAAGAGAGTCATGGACCACCGGGCGCATGGAGTTGCTCCCTCAGATCTCAAAAGTCCTTCTCCGCCGCCCTCTTCTCGAGGGCGATGGCACCCGGGCCGTGCACCGCGAGCAACATCAACCCGCCGGCTACGGACAAGGTCTGGAAGAAGTAGTAGCGCATGTGATCCGCGCGGTAGCTTGGCGCGGACCAGAACGGGTACCAGAAGAGATCGAGCAGCACGAGGCCGCCGGCGAGGAGCAGGGCTGACCACTCAGTCTTGAACCCGACGGCGATTAGGACGGCGGCGGCGATCAGGGCCACCGCGGTCACGGCGGGCAGCAGGCGGGGGGCCTCGATGAGCGAGTGGAGGCCGCCTGAGTTGGACCCCGCGAGGGCCTCAAAGAAGAAGAGGAGGGTCAGCATAAGCCGGCCGAAAAGCTGCAGCTTGTCCGCCGCAAAATTGCTCTGTGGCAGGCCCCACTGGCTGGCCCTTGGCCGCGATGCTAGTTGCTTACTCTGCGCAAAGGTACAGAGCAGGAGGCCGCCCGCCAGCGTGAGTGAGCGGCACAGGAAGTCGATGTTGGTCAGCTCTCCGTACATGAAGGGCTGGACGATGGTGAACGCGAGCAGAGACCAGGTTGCGCGCTTGGCAAGGCCAAGCTTTGCCGAAGGCACGAGCGCGGCGTGGAGCACGACCAGCGATCCAACGGTCTGCACGAGCATTGATAGGAAGAGGAGGGTGGCGCCGAGGTAGTAGCCCAAGTGCATCGTGCTCTGCATGAAGGCCATCTGACCCTCCCACTGCTGCACCACTCGGAGGGAGTCCTCCAGAAACGTCAGCACAAGGAGCGTCGGGCCCGCCGCCTCGAGGAACTCCTGCCGGCGGCGTCGGCCCGAAGGCACGCGGCTGATGAGCGCGCCCTCCAAGTCCATACTGGCCGCCTCCGCCGTGGCGACGGCCGTCTTGAACACCGCGAAGAGTCCGAGCATCATGGTGGCGTGGATGGTTGGGCTTTGGTTGAACAAGTCAAGGATGTGTCTTTGTCCTTCCTTATATATATATATTTTAATGTGATTTTTTGGAAATCGAGCAACATAAGCCGCGAATTGGCCAAGCGGGTGCGGCTAGCCTCTTTGGACAGGGTGGCCCGCCGCAACGATCCCTGGAATTGTGACTCTGTCTTTTTGTGTGCCTCCACAGACGGTCGATGAGCAGTCGCCTCCGCGTGACGCCCACGGCCGACAAGGAGGAGACCTCCAGCATCTCCAGCACGTCCGACAGCCCCGCCTTTGCCCGCCGTCTGGGGCCGGAGATGCTGCCGCTCATGCTCACCGCCGGCCAGAGCTCCGCGGACCAGACGCCGCAGCTCTCGGGCCGGGCGGTCGCCGTCGGGCTCGCCGTCGGCACCGTGCTCTGCTTCACCAACATGTACTTTGGGCTGCAGACGGGCTGGGTGACGATGGGCTCCATCCAGTCGGCAGTCGTCGGCTTTGCCGTCTTCCGCTTCTGCTGGCCGCGCGGGGGGACGCCGTTCGGGCCGCACGAGAACGTGGTCGTCCAGTCGATTGCGGTCGCCACCGCCACGATGCCCCTGGCGGGCGGCTTCGTCGGCATCGTGCCCGCCCTGCAGATGCTGAGCCCGCCCGTGCGGCTCTCCGTGGCGCAGCAGCTCGCCTGGTGCGGCGGGCTGACCTACTTTGGCATCTTCTTCGCGGTGCCGCTGCGGAGGCAGACGATCCTGGTGGAGCAGCTCCGCTTCCCGTCGGGCACGGCCACCGCCAAGCTGATCGACACGCTGCACACGCGGCACGAGGGCGGCGGGCGGTGGCGCGTGCTCGGCTGGTCGCGCCGCTCCCGCCGCCCGCGCTGGCCCGCCGCCTCTCGGTGCCCCACACTGTCCCGCCCTGGCAAACAGGTCCTTCGGCGCCTCGTACTGCCTCTCGCTGCTCGCGTACTTTGCGCCCGCCTTCGCCAACCTGCGCCCCTTTGACTGGCTCTGCCTGCCCGCCGCCTCAGCGTGGCACTGGACGGTCCGTCCCTCCCTCGTGCGTCATTGCAAGTACAAGTACAAGTTAGTCATTGATGCGCCAGCGATTGGTTCGTAGGTCCGCCCCTCCCTCTCGTACGTCGGCCAAGGGATGATCATGGGGCAGAGGTCCGCGCTCTCGATGCTCGCGGGCGCGCTCACCGCGTGGGCCGTGCTCGGACCGATGGCTGTCTCTCGAGGCTGGGTCGCGGCCACCGCCCGGCCCGCCGGAATGCCTCCCGCCGCCGCCGAGGCCGCGGAGGGCGGATGCGCCGCGCCGCCGCTGCCGGAAGGGGCGATCAACTCGTGGGAGGTTGGGGCGCAGGGGTGGCTGCTCTGGGTCGCGATGGGGCTGATGGTGTCGGAGGCGCTCTCGTCGCTCGCCGTCCTGACGGCGAGACAGTTCCTGATGCTGCCCCCGCCCTCCGCCTCGGCCGCCCAGTCCGGCGCGCCCGGAGGCGGCGAAGGCGAAGCCGAAGAGGGCGGAGGCGGAGGCGGAGGAGGCGGAGGAGGAGGCGGCGGCGGCGGGGCGGCGGCCGAGGACGGCGGCGGCGATCCGCTCGAGGTTGCTCCTCCCTCGCAGCTCGTCCCCGCCCGCTGGTGGCTGGGCGGGCTGGGCGCGTCGGCGCTGCTCTGCGTCGCGATCGTGGCACCGCTCTTTTCGATCCCCGCGTGGCAGCTCCTCGTCTCGATCTGCCTCTCCTGCCTCCTCGCCGTGCTCGGCGTGCGCGCGCTCGGCCAGACCGACCTCGAGCCGGTGAGCGCCCTCGGCAAGCTGTCGCAGATCTAACCCTAACCCTAACCCTAACCCTAACCCTAACCCTAGGTGAGCGCCCTCGGCAAGCTCTCGCAGATTGCGTTTGCCGTCCTCGCCCCGGGCCACCTCGTGACGAACCTGGTCGCCGGCGCCATCGCCGAGGCGGGCGCGATGCAGGCGGGCGACCTGATGCAGGACCTCAAGGCAGGACACCTGCTCGGCGCCTCCCCGCGCGCGCAGTTCTACGCGCAGCTGATTGGCTCCTCCGCCTCGGTGCCGCTCCCGGCGGCCCCCCGCCCCGACAATCGGCGCGTCTCCACGACCGCCCGCGCCGTGTCGGCAGGTGCTCGTCACCGTCGCCGCCTTCAACATGTACACGAGCGCCTACGGCTGCGCCGGCGAGGCGGGGTGGGAGTGCGAGCAGTTCCAGGCGCCCGTGGCGCACGTATGGAAGGACATGGCCGTGCTGATGCAGCAGGGCGTCGCGGCGCTGCCGCCGAGCGCCCTCGCCTTCGCAAAGGCCTTTGCTCTCCTCGGCGTCGCGCTGCCGCTCGCCGAGGCGGCGGCGGGCGAGTCGGCCCTCGGCAGGCTGCTGCCCTCGGGCATCGCTTTTGGGATTGGCATGTACGTCAAGCCCGACTGGACCCTGCCGCGCGTGGCTGGCTCGGTGCTCGAGTGGGCGTGGCGGCGGCGCTCGCCGCGTTCGCACGAGCGGCACATGCTCATGGCCGCGTCCGGCTTCGTGCTCGGCGAGGGCATCGCGTCGATGGTCACCCTCGCCCTCAAGTCCTTGCGCGGGTGACTCGATCGCTAGGATAGCTCGATCGTCGATCCCGGGCGGCCCCCGGCTGTGCCAGCAACGGCCTGTCCGGCCAGATTGTATCTCAGTTTGAAACCAGTTCCTGGAACACCCTCTGGGGGGGCGCGGGGGCCCTAGAGGGTATCCATGCGGGGGGGCGATGGGGTCCCATGGCCCGCCGCAGGCGCCGATTTTTTTCGGATTTTTTCTTTTTTTGCGCAAATTTTCACTTGTTTTCATGGGAACTCGGCGTTACTTGCGGCCATGCTATCACGCCTTGCGACAGCCTGTCGGCGCTGCTGACCGTGCCATGCTGCACAATTCATCACCTGCATAGCTCGCGGCCTTAGTATCAAGCATTCAGTGACGACCTGATCGTACGGCCAGTAGGAAGGTGTCCTTCCAGCTGCGTGCACGCTTCTGACGCAATGCGCGTCACGAACTGCCTCAGATTGGCTGCTGGCACTCTCGAGGCTATGCCTACACAGCCCCGCGCGCATGGGCAGTCAAGAGGGGCCACGAACCTTCTCAGGACAGCACCAGTGCCTCTCTCTTGGACCGGCAAACGTGGTGGTCTCGTGTCACCGATGTGGGACCAGTGCGGCATCGCGCCATCGACAGCTCTGAACTGCGCCTCACCACTGACCGGGAAGGCCGCCAAGTGGGCCAGCACCGGTCGCACATTGTGGCAGCAGTCAGCAGCGCATGTCTGATAGCTAGAGCAGCAGCGTCAGGGTCTCGCAGGGTCGGATCGTGTCAAGCCTCTCGCCCGGCCGGCCGCGTGCAGACGTCGGCCTGTCTGCTGTCTGGAGTGATCTGTCGGCGGTCAGTACGACCGATCAGGTCGGAGTTTTCTGATGGTTGGAGGGTCTGTCTGTATGTACTCCTCGAGATCTCTCCAAATCTGCCCTCTGATTAACCTAGCTTAATCGGGAAGTCGGTGCTAACGGAGACTAACGGAGCCGGAGCCCCGTTTCCGCACTGCTGCACGGCGCACGGTGCCTCCGGGGAGCCCCGCGCCCCCCCAGAGGGAACACCCCCACAAGCCACAAAACGCCAAGAGGTTTTTGCATTATTGCAATAGCTGTTTTTCAGTTAGCCGCAAGCCGGTGTGAGGGGCGCGCCCCATGCGTCAGGGCACAGCACCTGGCGGGGAACCCGCAATTTCCTTTTGAGAGATGCTCAGGGTCAGGCATCTGCCCGTTGCCCGTTGCCGCTGCCCGTTGCCCGATACGATTTCCATTCTAATCTCGATTGCCCGTCGGGCTAGTTCCATTTCACTGTGATAGTACAAAACCTTGATTGTGACCTCATTTGCGCAAAAAGGTACATGTCGGTGCCTTCCAAGAGGCAGCTGCGACCCCGCCGAGTAGACGGCGGCACACAGCAGGTGGCGCGGTGTGCCGCCGTCTACTCGGCGGTGTCCGCAGCTCCGCAGCTGCCTCTGCGCGTCCTGGGGAGGTACAATAGTGTCGCGCGCCGGAGACGACTCGACGCCGCTGAGATCGGAGATCAAGCTCTGACAGGTCGCACGTCGCTCCTTTGACGCCGACGTGACTCACCCGTGCAGATCACATCAGGACACGGTCTCGACGCGCTCGGTACGACGCCTGCGACCCGTCTCCGGTCAAGTGGCACGACGCTCATCGCGCCTGCCATGAGAGAGAGATTTTTGAAAACCAACCAACAAGAAATCAATCACGGCTCTCACAGTGATCTCTCTCTTTACACTGTATGATTGTAAAATTCTTTTCGCGCACGACGGGACCTTACCACTGTGGTGTTTCGTCTTCCTCCCGGTAAGGCTCCACACACGATGTAGGATTCTTTTCCCGGACATCCAAGACGCGGTTATCCGCCGGGACGTTGAGAAGCACGGCCATCACTGGGCGCGGATCCTCCGCGATGGCGGGCTGCACCCAGGTCGCACTAGCAGCGCAGTGCACAGCCGTTTTGGGCGAATCAGCAAGGGGCTCTCCATTGCGGTGCCCCTCCCCCCCCCCCCCCCCCCCGATCTCTCCCCTGCCCCCACCCGGCCGCCGTCCCGACCGCTTTCCCACACGCGCCGCATCACCATTGCGAGTAGGCGCGACCGCGGCCGCCGGCCGCCCCCGCCGCGAGGCGCGGTACGGGGGTGGGCGGGACAGGCAAGGAGAACCTCGCAGTCCAGCAAAAGGCGCCTAGCCTTTGTCGCTGTCACAGTGGCCGACCCGGTACTATGAGGTTTGCCGACTAGGTGGGCCAGACGGCCGCTCCGGCTCGCCGCAAGCGCGCCGCGGGCGGCAGCGGCGCGGGCGGCGCCCCCGCTGCGAAGCGGTTGCCGGCGGAGGTGCTGTATGTGTACGGACGCGGGGTGGGGCGAGGCGGGGCGGGGGCGTCGCTCAACGTGCCTGGCCCTCCCGCCCCGCGGTACCCGTTCGCCGCGGGGCTGCCCGTCTCGCTTCGCTTCTACGCATTGGGACAACCTCAGCCCGGCGCAGCAGGCAGCGATGGGAAACGTGCAGTGGTGGATCGACATGTACGCGCGCACCCGCACTTGGATCCTGGCCAAGGACGCGCGCGGCGTCGAGTTTTGCCTGGGCCACGTGCGCCAGTTTCATGGCACCGACGCGACCGCCGTGCCGGCGGACGACCCCAACGGCGGCCTTGCGGGCACGGACGTGCAGGGCGTCGCGCTGCGCGCGGCGGGTGTGTGGTGCAGGTCGTTCATCCATAGCCTCCCATGCGCCACCCACGTCACCGGTGTGGGGTCTCTAGGCGTCCCGCGCGGCGTGGTGCCCAACAGCATCACGCTCGGCCCGCCCGGCAACGGCCACACTAACACCGTCGCGACGTCGTGGACGGCGGGCGACTCGTACCGCATGCTCATCCAGTGAGCGGCAGGAAAGGAGGGGGGGGGGGGGGGGGCACTTGCCCCGGCGGGGGGGCGGGCCCGGGGCGCGAGTTGCGCGCCAGGTACCAAACGAGAGAGAGAGTGGCTCTTACGTGCGCGGAGCTAGTGTGAGTGTGTTTGCGTTATGCTGCGGGACGGCATGTGGCTCGCCAACGCCATGCATCTCCGGTCTGTCAATCGTGGTATGCTGTCTCTATCCACAATCTTCCTCGCAGGAGTCCCCTTAGGTGGAGGCTCCCGTGTGGTGTTGGAGAAGAAAGGGGGTCTTCACGAATTCTTTCATCAGACGACAGTCGACAGACCACAACCGCACGACGGCACCACCCCTCTTGCTTGGCCTTTGGCGCGGAATCCGGCGGTTCGTATGATGATCCGAGTTGAGACTTTCCCTCCACAAGCGTTTGAGCCGGGCAAGATTCTTGACATGAAATCTCGTTAAAATTCTTTTCCCGGTAAGGCTCGACGCGGCACGCGGCCCTGTAAGAATTCTTTCCAGGACTCCTGGCTCGACAGGCGGTACGAGCCCGCGCGGCGAGAGCTGTCACGTGCTCTCACGCGCTCTCACTCATCCCTAGCCGCCTTGCACGCCCTGCATCCCCAAAACGCACCCCTCGTGGCGGGCCGGGGCCCCTCATTCCCCGTTTCTTTCCCCCCTCTAGAATACGCCTGTGGTGTGCCCCGTGTGGCACCCCGGCCTGTTGTCTCACCCTGGCTCCCAAGATCGTTTTGGCCGTCACATTGTGACCCCCGACGTCGTCAAATGTCGCCCGCCTGTCCTTCCCCCCATTCTCATCTGGCAATCTCATCTTATTGTCCCATGCATGGGTGTTTAAGGCTGGCTACGGCCACTTCGCTCCACAACCGTCCCGCCACCCCTGCCGTGTGCGATCCCGGCCTCACCGTCTTTCGGTAATGCTCGCACACCCACCCACTCGTGCGCGCTCTTACACATGTGTCCGTACGACCGTCCAGCGCGCTGCGCGCGCCGTCCAGCCAAGCAAGCACAAATACTTTTCCCGGTGTGTGAAGTGTGATAGATAGAGGAGCGCGGACGGCCCGGGGAGCCTGCGGCGCCATTTTAATCTGCGCTCCTCTTTATGGCCTGCGGCGCCTGGCTTGAGCTCGGAAGTGTAAACATGTCCGCCAGGGCGGTCTGCAAAGAAAGAAAGAAAACAGACAACGCAAGGGCGGTCTGCCTACCTCTCCGAACCCCAGGACGAAATACTTTTCGTGGACGCCTAGGCACGAGTACGAGCCCGCGCGGCGAGAGCTGTCACGTGCTCTCACGCGCTCTCACGCCGCGCCTCTGCTCGCAACCATAGGCGCTCTCGGTAGCCCGCAGAGGCGCCGGCACGCAGCGCGCGGAGGCGGACACTCCGTCTCGCACTCGCCATGGTGGACGTCGCGCTTCAGCAGATGGAGGCCATGCTGCGGGCTCTGATGAGCACAGACAACGCCGTGCGCAACCAGGCGGAGGAGGCGCTCGCGCAGGCCCGGCAGGCGCCGGACTCGCTTTTTAGTGCGCTCATCGCCATGCTGCGCAGCAACCAGGACGAGCAGGTGCGTTTTGTGCCCCGCTGCGCAAGCCTCTGCGCAGGCCGGCAGGCGCCCACCACGCGCGCGCGCGCGTGGTAGGTGCGCTCGCTCGCGGCGGTGCTGCTGCGCAAGGAGATCATCCGGCTGCTGGCGCAGTCGGCCGACGCGCAGGGAGTGACCGTCTCGACGCAGGTCAAGGCGCTGCTCAAGAGCGAGCTCCTCGCCTGCATCGAGCAGGAGCCGCAGCGGTCCATCCGGAAAAAGGCGTCGGATGTGGTGGGGCAGCTGGCCATCAACATCATGAGCAACGACCCGTCCGGCTGGCCCGAGCTCTTCCCGTGGATGCTCGAGGGCACCCGCTCGACCAACGTGCCGCTGCACGAGGTGGCGCTGCGCCCCGCCCGGCCGCGGCGCACGGAGGCACTGCCTGAGCGTCGCCGGACCCTCTCCTCGCAGGCGGCGCTCGCCATCT